CCCTACGTAGTTCTGACTAAAAGGCAAGACATTCAGATAGAGGTAACTGCTAAGTTTAGAATATTTTCTTCAAATGCACCTTACTTTTGGAGGTAATATCTGCATCACATGATTTGACATGAAAGGAATCCACATTTGAAAATTATAGTTTTCAAAGGCCTGTATTAGAGCCCAGTGTTAGGTAAGCGCCGACACAAAAAATACACTTCATTGGGAAGTTGTAGGGGAGTAGAATCTCTTTCTGCAGCACTTGGTTAAAAAGAACATCTAATTGAAGAAAATTCTTGGCAAATTGAAGATTGGGAGATTTCTTAAAATCCAGCGTCTTGTAACTTATGATTCTAGTGTGAAATTGCTTGAACCAATTCAATAAATTAATCAGCACATATGAAATAATCAAAACTATCAAAATGCAATAAAAGCTGACTGAAGAGTGGGTGCCTTTCCACAGACCCTACAATATAATTAGGGAGGTGCTGTCTTAACTATCCCAGAGAAAGGACTATTTCATAGTCTCTTTATACACTGTTTGGCAAAATTGTAGCTCAAGTTTTGTTTCCTCAGACTCTACAATATTTACAACCATTTGTGGAATAGGATGAATCTTGAAGAAAAGAATATTTCTTAAAATATTCTCTGTATAGATAAGCTACAAACATGGGGGAAAAAAATCAAACTTTAAGACCTGAAAGCAATTAAAGCTTTCAGAAAAGAATTATCTACAAATCAGGCCAATAGTAATTCAGAGAATCACAGGGCTTTAAATCTGGAAGACACCTTAGAGATCAAGTCTAATTCTCTCATTTCACAGATGAGTAAATTAGGTTCAGATTGGCTAAGGGACTTGCTTAAACTGCAGAGCTGTTTGGGGGATAAATGAAATAACAGATTTCCACCATGTTCTTTGTTATTCCAGGACAACTTAATCCAGCAAGAAGACAGGTTTAGAGCAATGCTTAAGTTGAGAATATTTCAGTACTGGACACAATGGCTTGTCAAAAAAATGTAGGCTATTTGAAGGAAAACTACCTTTGCTTTTATTTTTAAGGGTGAGTTTGATTGAATACATTTAGATTAAATTGAATTTAGACAAATTTTATTAGAGCATCATTTAAAAAAGGATAACTTTTTAAAATTTTTGATTCATGTATTTAGGAGCTCAGAGGTAACTCATTAGCAAATTTATGTAGTTTTAACATAGTCTTTAACACAATTTTCTACTTTTTTGGATGGAACAGGGCCTCCACCCTGACCTACATGGGCTACATTCCCAGCCTCTTTCCCTTTCATTGCTAATCTGGAGACAAGTTCTCTCTAAACTACTATATTGCCCAGATTGTGTTTAAATTTGTAATCTTCCTGCCTCAGCTTTCATAGTGCTGGGATTAGAAGCATGGGCCACCATGTCCAATTTCTACAATTTTTAATAAGTTTATGCTCACACTTCATTTGGAAGCAGATACTGAGTTTGCTGTATTTTGCATTTTCACAATCTATGGCAATATTTGATATACACAAAAGGATTTCATAAAAAAATAAAGTATGAATATGAAGGACTTCTAGTTGGATCTGGCGCTAGAGATTTATATACTATGAATCACTTAAATTTTATAAGCTTAAAACTTACTGTTTATAAAATTAGTAGTACAATTTATCAAGGGATTGGTCTAGGACCTATAGAAAAACTGTAGAGAGAAAACTAATTTTTAACTCCTGGCAAGAAAATGCTTTCTAATAATTAAATCTTTCCCAGTGTTGCCTGCTTTCAGAAATAGAATTCCTGAACAAAATAAAATATCAATCATACACTTAAAAAGTACTTGGTAGAGAAGTTGAACTTTGAAAAACAAAACACTAGTCGAAGCCCTAGAATACTGTAAGGTAAAAGTCCTTTCCAATTTCATACTGTGCTTAATGATGCCCACCTTTCCTCCATGGAGTTACTGTGGCACTGCTGGGTATATGTGTGGCTGTGTGTGTACAGGGCATGCTATCTCTAAATGTACCTTAAAACTAGGAAAACCATAGAAGCAACAAGATCTCTCTGGTCTTTTCTTATCTCTTCTCTTTGAAGACCTTCACGTGGCAGGTATTCTGTTCTATACTCAGAAAGAATGAGTGTGGCACAGATAGGACAAAAGGAACCTGAACAAACAGCCCAGCTAAATCCACCCTCATTTATCGTTAGTTGGTGGCTCCCTTTTCTCCAATTGGAATTGTGATAGCCATCCTTTGGTCACCAAATCTAAGAATAAAAGAACATTTTTTCTGGGTAATCAGGTCTATCTTTATCCTGTGAAACTGCTGACTTTCATAAATCCTCAGTTAAAAACATTGTTATGCATTTTTTTTCCATCTGTCTTATGCCATAGGGGTATCCACCATGAAGCTCGGAATGTGGGGGAAGAGACAGTACTATTTCTCCCCTGTGAGCCTAAACATAAAATAGGTGGGGTCTTGGCCTTTAGTATTGCATCAAAGAGGACAGCGACTTCACTATTTTGTGTTAACGATACACAATTGTTACATGATAAAGTGATTAATAGCTTTACTGCTTGTCCTCTCTATTTAGTGTAAGAATGGTAAATTTCAACAAATGTGAACGGTAATAGTACTGAAAGCAACAAGGTGGTATTATAAAAAGATATTTCAATGGTGTTCTCACCTGTCCCTTACAAGGATATAAGTTCCGTTAAATCCACTGTACAGTCCACACCCTACATGTGCAGGTTTAATAATAGTTTGGGAGGGGCTGGGGATTTAGCTCAGCCGCAAAGCACCTGCCTGGCAAGCGCAAGGTCGTGAGTTTGGTTCCTGGCACCGGAGAAAAGCAAACAAACAAAAAAAATAGTTTGGGAGCCACCATATAACCATCAGTTTAGCCTTACGTACTTTGGTGTATTACTAGAGCTAGTAGCTTAGAATTGTCTTTCATCATTCACTATTTTACCCTTAGATAGATGTTCTTCCCCATCTCCTGCTATACCAGACTAAAACTGTTCCATTGTTACTCTGTATTGATCAGTGTTTGCCTTAATAATGGATACGACAAACAATTTTAAAGTTAACATTTTAAATCAACTATTGTTGCTGATTTTTCCACTTCCCAAGATCTGTGTGGTAGCTGGACCAGATCTGCTTTAGGCTTAAGTAGAGTAGTAGGCTTTCTTTCTTTGCAATGGGCTTCATTCTACTTTTCATGTTCCCACATTTTCCAAAGTCCAGGGGCTACCTGAAACATGTTTTTTTCCTTGGAAAATAGTAGAAACCTCTTTGTCCCCCTACAGCTTATGGGTCAGAAGGAGCATGTTGTCTCCTTGGCCTTTATCCCATCAATGTGAGTGATGGTATGCCCAGACTTATAACCATGGGGAAGAGAAATATACTGGCTATTTATTGTTACATTAACTTTACAGTTGGTGCCAGATAAGTCCACAAGTATGCTATGGAGTGTAGACTGAACTAATTCAACAAATGAAGAATTTCAGTTTCTATGAGGGGATAATTTTGGTTGAGCATTTTCAATAATCCAGCTTTTACTATTTAGACTTTCTAGTTCTAAGATTTCAATCTCTAAAAAGAAAGGCCTTATTGTGTTGGTTGCAGTTGAATAGACTCAACATTCTTCTAATTAGTCCTTTATTTCCCCTGAAAATCAAGAGGACTCTGCCTTCAATAAAACAGTCCTTTCAAATGATTGAAATAATTTTCCGTTCTAAATATCCCCCATGGGTTTTCCCCCATAAGTTCGTTGTCCAAATGTCCCTAGAAACAAATAAGATTGTTAATATATAGATTTCAAATAGTCTTTATACAACTCATAAATGTAGAAATTGACTACCTAGTTCTAGTGATTTTACATAATCAATATTTCAATTACTAGTTATTTTTAGTACTGGCACATAAACATGAAAAAATAAAATTTATTTATTTATTTATTTATTTATACAGTGGTGGGGATTTAAGCAAAGGCTTTGTTGATGCGAGGTAACTGCCATTCAGCTAGTCCCTGTCCTGCTGCATTCTTTAATATGCTTCTTTTCTGTATCTTTATGATTCTTTTAAACCTAGTATAGGTCAGTCTTATTCTTTCATTTAATATTCCATTGAGATTACTTGTCTATTCAAGGAAATATAGATCCATTTTCATTTATTTTGATTCTTGATACAATTATATTCTATACATACAATTTCCTTTATCTTATTTTTATCTTTTCTTTCTTTGGTCTTCTATGACACTAAATATCTTCCTTAATTTATTGCTCTCATTTCTTTTTGCCCATTTTTAAGTGACATGGTATATATTTGACACTTAATAGATGTTTTTATTTTTAACATGATTCTTTGAAAAGTATGAATTTAAGTAAACATCTACCCTTTTAAACACACCAGAGACTTTAGAATGCTATAACTATGACACCATTCCTCATATTTTAAAATTATTGTGTAATCATTTTTCTACCTATTTTTATATTTCAAGTGAATTATTTCTCCTCCTTCTCCTGCACCATTTCCTTCAGGTTTGCAAACTGAAATAGTAGATTATGCTAACTCTTGGTTATTTCACTAATTCTATTAAAATGGCTCTATCCTTTGTTCTGTAAATACATACATATATATATATATATATACATATACATATATATATATGCTAAACAGAACTTCCTTTTATATATTCACAAGAAAGTCTGTAGTAAAAGTTATTTTCATCTTTGGTATAAGCTAGTGTCTTGCAAACATCTCGAGAAGAATAATAGGATGTCTTATTAATTCCAAATTTTCATGGGCAAGATTACACTTACATTTACACTTTAATATGTACTAAATTCAGTAAATTTTATGGCATTTTCATGGCGTTTTCATGGCATTCTTTTCAACTTTAATTATTCACCGTTATGGCAAATATGTTCTGTTTGAACAGTTAAAGGTCATTTTTTGTGCATACAATATAAAATTAAAATATAAAATAGTCTCAGATACTGGATTTAAAGATCACATACCTGTCCAGCAGTATCCAGGATGTCCAAATATGCTGGCTCATTGTCAATCCTAACTTGAGTCTTATAAGCATCTTCTGAAAAACACAAGATGAAATTTATATTCAGCGAAAAGTTATGATAAATTTTTAGATTCATCACAATACAAAATTTCTAAATAAATTACACACAGATTATCAGATATATTATTCAAATAAATTATGCAAATCAAGAAGAGTATAACTCAGGAAAATATAGGAAAAAGAATTTCTGCTTAAAGTGAAATTGGGTAGGGTTTTTGTTCATCAGATGAATTTCATGAGCTCAGAAGTCCTAGTGATGTTACCTCAAGAAAACCTTATGGGAAAAATTATCAATTATTTTCTAACCATGCACTGGAAAAATCACATTCTAACACGGTAATGGTAGAATGCTGAAAACTGTGCTTGAAAAACCAAGAGTATGACAAGATTGTCCTTTTTCTCCAATTATATTTAACACAGTACAGGAAGTCTTAGCCTCCACTAGGCAAGAGAAAGAAATAGAGAATATTTGAATTAGAGTCACAGACAACATTATCTTACGTGTAAAATTTTCTGAAAATTACACACTGTGTCACACACAGAGTAAATGAATTCAACTAGGATGAAGAATACAAATTCCATGAAAGAAAAAAAATGTATTTCAGTAAACACAATGAATAAAGGAAATCACCACATCAACTCTGTTTGCAATAGCATCAAAAATCAAATACCTAGAAATAAACATAAATATGTGAAGGCATATATTAAAAACTGTACAGTGTTGCAGAGAGCAATAAAAAACACAAAATAAAAGGGCATTTTATACCCATGGGTTTGAAGATTTAATTTTGCTAAGATTGTTCATACTATCGTACATAATCCACAAATATAATTCCAACCCTGTAAAATTCCAACTACTTTTTGAAGAAGTTAAAATGTCCATGCAGAACATCATGTGGAATCTTAGGGGACAAAAGCCCAAAGCAGTTTTTTAAAAAGCACATGTTTGAAGTATCACATTTACCAATTTCAAAACTTATTTCAAAGCCTCAGTAATCAAGAGTGAGATATTTGTATACAGAGAGAAGTACAGATGAATCATATAGAATAATGAATCTAGAAATAAGCCACAAAATATACAGCCAAATAACTTTCCAAAAGAGTGCCAGTGAAGCTGAGAAAATGGATATGTAAATCCACAATAATGAGTTTGGGCTCATCTTATGCCACATATGAAAAGTAACTCAAAAGAGAGCAAAGATCTTAATATACTCTGTAATATTATATTATTAAATATAATAGTGAGAGCTGTAAAACTCTAAGGAAAAAAATAGGGAAAAGCTTTATGATATTGGATTTGGCAACAATTTCTTACGTATGACACCGAAAGCCCAGGCAATATAATTAAAAATGGATATAATAGACTAAAATTTCTCATTGAAATAAATTTCACATAAGTGGAATCATAAAATAATTTGTCTGACTTCTTTCATTTTGCATATAAAGAATGCCACAGTCAACTGGGTCTGATGACCAATTTCTGTAATACCAGACAGTCTAGAGGTTAAGGAATTTTAATTTTTTTTTTTTTTAAAAATGGATACCAGCCTGGGCAACTTAGTAAGATAATGTCTCAGAAAAGAAAATGAAAAAAGAAGGAAGGAAGAAAAGAAAGAAGGAAGGAAAGAAGGGAGGAAGGAAGAAAGGAAGGAAGGAAGGAAGGAAGGAAACAAGAAAGGTAGGAAAGAAGGAAACAAGGAAGGAAGGGAAGAAGGAAAGGATGGAGGAAGCAAAGAATATTACAATTCATTTGGAATTGTACCATACATAAGGAATTCTTTCCTTTTTATTGCTGAATAGTACCCCATTACACTGTATATCACGTTTTGTTTATTCATTCTGTCATTTATGTTTGGGTCGCTTGTATGTTTTAACTCTTGTGAATAAAGACAGATAAGGACATTCATGTACAAGTACAGTTTTCAACAATTATTATTCTGTGTATGTTTCTTGCAGTGAATTGGTGATTGCCATATTAATTCCATGTGTAAGTTTTTGGGGGAACTACCAAACATTTTCTCGCCAAAATTTACATGCATGCCAGCAAAGTATGAGGATATTGATTTCTCAACACTTTTACCAAGAATTGTTAATTTTTTTTGTTATAGATATGCTACTAGGGATGAGTGACATCTCTTTGCTGTTTTTATTTATATTTCCCTGATGAATAATGATATCAAGCATTTTCATATGCCTATTAGCTGTGACAGAGAGTGGTGATAACTACAGTGAGCTTCTTAAGAGTCTGAATCAGGACTAAGCTCAATAGAATTGGCAACTGGAACACAAATGCATGTGGATCCTTCCCATACCCCTTGACAAAGGTGCTGACGGCAGGCCTATGTGATGGACACCACTACAAAGCAGCCCTGAGCAGGACTTAAATTAACCAATTGGCTTTTCATATTTACTTGTGAGTCTATCCAAGGCCTAGGCTGCTTGTCTGGAGATGGGCAGTAGACTCATAGTAAGTGAACCTCTGTGAGTCACTAATTCCTACTAAGGCCTGTAATGTTAGACAAACCTGGAAATCCTCAAAGGATAAGACAGGATCACAGCCAGGGACACCTGGATCAGATCTCAAATAGATAAAGATGATAGCCTCAGGTATGCCACACCTGGTT